CTCGAAGCAGCATTAAGAGTTATAAGATATGTGAAGAAGGAATCAGCTTTTGGGTTGCTTATGTCTGCAAAAAGTACAAAAGAACTGGTGGCATTTTGTGATTTAGATTGGGCTTCTTGTGTTGTTAGTAGAAAGTCAGTGTCAGGTTACTGCATTAAGATGGGAGATTCTCTTCTGTCCTGGAAATCAAAGAAACAAAATACCATTGCAAGATCATCTGTAGAAGCAAAGTATAGAAGTATGGCTAGAACTGTTGCAGAATTGATTTGGTTAACTGGTTTACTTAAAGAACTTGATGTTGAAGCCAAAATTCCAGCATTGCTTTACTGTGATAACAAGGCAGCTTTGCAAATGGCAGCAAACCCCATGTTTCATGAAAGAACAAAACACATAGAGATAGATTGCCACTTCATAAGAGAGAAAATTCAAAGTGGCTTGATACTTACAAAGTACATATACATACCAACTGGAGAACAATTAGCAGATGTAATGATAAAAGGCTTGGGAAGGATGCAACATAAAAAATTTATGTCCAAGCTGTGTATGAAAAATATTCATAAGATGCCGATCTGAGGGGGAGTGTTAAGATCCAAGTTGGCACACGTGAGGTAGTTTAGTTAGTTAAGAATTAGTTATGCTAAGCTATAGTTAGTTAAGTCGTTAGTTAGTAGTTATAAGTTTATGTATGTATATATAGCAATGTAACAGACTCTTCAATTAATGAAAATTCATTCTTCACATTACTCTTTCTCGAATTCTCTCCTGATTTGCTTCTTTTCAGTTCACTTGCCCCAAATTAACACAATTAAAAGTATATAAACACAATGATGTGCACTTAAAACTAATTAATGAAATTTCAGAACCTCTAAACTGTGTTTCTTATAAGCTTTCTAAGTAAAACAATTTGGTTTTGGTAAATAAAGCAGGCCTTTAAGAATTATCTTGGTTGACAAAATTCACTCAGGGAATACTTGTCCCGTTACTCCTTTGTCTTATGAGAAATTACTCCTTGACAGTTCATTAGATTCTGTTTTCGAGATGGATATAATAAAGAGAATGCTGCACATTGGGCATCCGTGATACTATGATGGATGCTAGTGCTTTCGAGATACTGGTTAATCTAGCAACATATACAACTATTGCAAAAAAAGGAAAAAAACTGTTGTTTGATACATTTTCTAAATCATTTCCCAGAATTCTATTAAAGCTATATTTATTTAATTTGATGCTAGTGCTTGGGCCTTTAATAGCATGTGACATGTATAAAGCTATTCGTGGAGGCTAGGTGGATTGTTTGGCCAATTTATGAGAAGTGTCTTATGTACTAAATTAGTAAATTAGGCCTGGACCATCATGCTACAGCAAATCATGGGTATCGTTTTTGTTTGTAAAAGAGTTAACGACTTTTTCCCACCAGATAATGGTTTAATGACACTTTTCTATCTACAGACTTTTAAAATACAATTTTACTATCCAAATTTATATTTTGACGATGATCAAAGAGCAAACTTGGTTCAGGCTGTTGAGACGTTTGAAGAGGGGAGGTCAATGAGTCTTTTGATGGTAGAAGATTGGATTTTAGTAGTTGGGATTGATCGAAATTTGACTTGGGAGAGGCGGTTGCGCAAACCCTAATCGCTTGATTGTCGACGATTGACAAGGTCGATGAGAGTAGGGTTTAAGGCGCTTTAGTGAGTGATGATTGGAGAAAAGAATGGTGATGGTTTGAGGTCGCAACGATGCCAAAATCAGAAACAGATAATAAAGTGGTCTTTTAAAAGTTTGTGGGTAAAAAAGTGTCATTAAGCCATTATTTGGGTGGAAAAAAGTAGTTTACTCTTCAATTTATTATCTTTTTTTTTTTTTTTTTTTTTGTTTGATAATTGGCCTCTTGGTATTTGCATATAAATAAGAGTAAACGACATGTTCCTATCCAAGGTTTAGCGAAAACCCCAAATAACAATCCTGGTTATATAAATTCTATATTCCCACCCTTAAATTAACAGAAAAATGTTTACTTTAATAGACAAAGGGTAACATGGTTATTTACACCGCAATAAATCTGAAATAAACATAAAAATTTCAGAATGATCCTCCATATCTTAATTTTTTCTCACAAGCACCATCTCTCTAACATTTCTCTCATGGTAGCCAGACTTAGCCTTTGCGCGGGCCAAAAAAGCAACAGCCAAATGGCTTCTTGGCCCTCGCGATGGCCAGAATTTGGCCGCCGTGTGAGGGCTTTGTGGCTGCAAAATTTAGCCGCCATGAGGCCCTCACGCAGTGTCCAAAATCTGGCCATCGCGAGTGGCCAGATTTTGGACACCGTGTGAGGGCCTCATGGTAGCTAGGAACTTGAGCGCGCGCGATAGGCTATGCGCGTAGCTGCCTATGTGCGCGTTGGAGCAGTGCACATGGGGAGATGTGCTTGGATGTTGGTTTGGGCTAAGGATAGAGCAGGTGGTGGGCGTAGTCAAAGAAAGGTGGTTTTTATGGCTGGCGATGAGAAAATGGCCAGAAAAAAACACAAAATACAAAATCAACAACAATAGGAAACATTTCCATAAACAATCAATTTCCCTTCAACCAAGCTTCAAAACAAACTCCAATTGAAAATCCAATTTCAACTGTTGACAAGTCGTTGGGGAAGTGGTAGGTGACAACCAACTAGGAATCACAGCTTGGGGTGGTAGGGGTTTTAGAGAAGGGACACCGGTGGATCAAAAGGTGGTGTCAGGGTAGGTTTTCGTTGCTGAAATTGGCCAAAAATCGGTAAGAAGCGCGTGATTCCACTGAGCGACGGCCGACGATTTGGCAGTGTAGAGGGGTAGAGATGATATGGGTTTTGATGATGGAGGTGAAGGGATATGTTTGGTGGTGTCAAGGCATTCCAAAGACATTGGGATTAGGTCAATTTGGCTGGAAAATGGCGATCGCAAGGCGGAGGAGGTCATGAGTGGAGGAGCAAATCCAGTGTAATTGGGCCAAATTTTGCTCAAAGGGGGGTTGGGGGAGTTCGAACGGTTCTGGGGAGTGATTCTTGTCGAGTTTGGTGGATTTTCCGGCAAGTAAGCAACCAAAATGGCCGTCAAAATTTATGAATCCATGGATGGGTTTTGTCAAAGGCAATAGCATAATGGCACTCAACAGTCACTCATGGTGGTCATTTAAGGGTGGGAATATGAGATTTATGAAACCAAGAGTGGTAACCTTCAATTTGGCTAAACTTTGGGTGGGAACATGTCGTTTACTCTATAAATAATTCTCCCCATTAGGATACTATCATACTAGTCCGTGACTATTTCAATAAATCAAAGCAATGATGTTAGCGATTTTTGAGAAATTATGAGTGCAATAGCTCTTAGCTGTGAGATGGGCTTTAATAAATAAAAGAGTAAACGACATATTCCCACCTAAGGTTTGACGAAATCCCAAGTTAGTACCATTGGTTCCATTTATTCTAGATTCACACCCTTAAAGTGACGGAAAAACGTTTGATGTAATGGTAAAGGGGTAAATTGGTCATTTTACATGGGCGGCGCACGTTAGCAGACCACTGCCTCTAACAGTCCTCCGACGCACATTAGCAACCGTCGTCCTCGACGTTTTTCAATCTTTTCCGGTGATTCTTCCACCCAAAATCACCCTTGTCACCACCATTTGAACCCCCATCCTCCCCTCTACAAAACCATACCATTCACAACCCCTCATCACTCACCGATCTCTGGCCACGGCAACGAAAAACAGTCGATGAACACGAACTCTCGGCCGGCGAATGACGACGAAACGGTTGCTGGGGACATAGGGGTTTTATAGATTTTGGGACGATGGTTGCATTCGTGGTGTCTAATTGGATTTTCACCGCCGGAATCGATCGGAATCTGGTGAAGAATACAGAAACCCTAAGCCTAATGGTGCCGGCGATTGGAGAGGCAAATGAGTCGAGAACTAGAGGGGTTTTGGACGATAGACTACGGGGAAGGTGATGGAGGCAGGGGCGGACCCAGGCTCCTTGAGTGTAGGCCCAGGCCTGCCCTCAGATTTTAAAAAAAAATTGCAAAGTTTTTTTTCATTTTTTTGGGAAGATTAAAAAAAAAAATAAAAGGTTAAAAACTGAAAAGTTAGCTTTCGTCTTTTCCTTATTCAGCTTTTTCTTCCCCAGTTCCCAACTCCCTTTTTACATGCGGCTGAAGCTCAACCTAGAAATTAAAAAAATCCCCCTTTTCAACTTCTCTAATCTGCGTCTCCTGAAGCCCCTGAACTCTGAAGGTTAGTAATTAGTATTTCCTTATTTAATGACATACTACCTGCTTTTTAAGAATCTTATTAATGCCTTTAGAGTATTGAGTTTGGCGTTTGGGTGAAAAATTTTAGCAGTGGTGGTCCTCGTGGACCCAGTTTTAGTGAGACAAATAATAAACTACTGCTTTTGAAGAATCTTATTGATGCCTTTAAAGTATTGGGTTTGACATTTGGGTGAAATATTTTAGCAGTGGCGGACCCAGTTTTAGTGAGACAAATAATAAACTACTGCTTTTGAAGAAAATCTTATTGATGCCTTTAGAGTATTGGGTTTGGCGTTTGGGTGAAAAATTTTAGCAGTGGCGGACCCAGTTTTAGACTTTTAGTGAGACAAATAATAAGTTAAACAATTTTTTTCTATTATCTTTGACTTTGTTTTCCTGGCTCTTGTTTCAAACATGTCTTATATAATTAAATATTTGAATGTATTATATATGGTGACATATTGACATGGTGTGTAACGTGTGTTAAATAGATGTGTTAAATTAAAATATGTCTTATGTATCATGTATCATGAATTTAAATATATCATGGTTTGTTCATGTATCTTATTCAAGAGAAAATTAAGTTGCTAAATTAATTTTTTTTTTTTTTTTTTAATAGGAATCTCTTTGTCTCTTATTTTTGGGATCCCACTTTGGTATTAATTCATTATATGTTTATTGGATTTGAAATCCAAAGCATTAACAAATAAGATTATGATATCCAATTATTTCAAGAGACTGAAGAAAAGTCCAGCAAAAAATGTTGATGGAGACTCTACTGATATTGAGGTTAATCAAACCCCATTAGAAGAAGAAACCCCACAACAGCAACAACAACACCAAGAAAAAGAAGCTCAACGTTCAATCGGGGTGTTCAATTTAGATGAGCTTGAAACTGACCCAGGATTGAGGATACCAATTAATGAGCTTTGTTGTACTGACAAACAAAAAGAGGAAGTTCGAAGAGCATACTTGTTGAAAGGTCCTTGCCAACCTAAAGATCATAACTTTCCTTTCACTCCTTTTGGAGATAAAAAGCGTAGGTTTACATCAGAGTGGTACAAAGAAGGTTCATGTTGGATGGAATATAGTGTGGCAAAAGATGCAATCTTCTGTTTGAATTGTTATCTTTTCAAACCCGATTATGGTGACCAAGCAGGTGGTGAAGTTTTTGTGAATAAGGGATATAATAACTGGAAAGATAAAGCAAAAGTGAAAAAACATGTTGGTGATCATTCTAGTACTCATAACCAATGTCATGCCAAGTGTGTTGATTTGATGAACCAAAGGCAACACATCGATGTAAATCTTGGTTGCGTGTCGAAAAAGGGCAAATTGGATTATCGTATTCGCTTGAATGCATCAATTGATTGCATTAGATTTCTTTTACATCAAGGATTAGCATTTCGTGGTCATGACGAGTCAGTTGAATCTGAAAATCAAGGTAACTTTATGGAACTATTGAAGTTTCTATCCAATCACAATGACGACATAAAGAAAGTTGTGCTGGGAAATGCTCCGAAAAACCATCAAATGACGGCCCCCAAAATCCAGAGGCAACTAACTAGTGTTTGTGCTCATTTGACAACCAAGAAAATTATTGCAGAAATTGTGAGAGATAAACAACCATTTTCTTTACTGGTTGATGAATCTCGTGATGTGGCAGTGAAAGAACAAATGGCTATTGTTTTTCGCTATGTGGACAAAATGGGTTGTGTTATCGAACGTTTTATTGGGATTGTGCATGTTAAGAATACTTCTGCAAAGTCTTTGAAAACTGCAATAGATGCCTTTTTTGTAAAGTATGGATTGAGTTTGACAAGTTTACGGGGCCAAGGTTACGATGGAGCAAGCAATATGAGGGGTGAGTTCAATGGTTTGAAGACTTTAATATTGAGAGAAAATAAATTTGCTTTCTACATTCATTGTTTCTCTCATCAGCTCCAATTGGCGCTAGTCAAAGTTGTAAGTAAACATTCAGCATTGGGTGAATTTTTTCAAACTCTTTCTATGTTATCAAACACTGTGGCAGCATCTTGCAAGCGCAGAGATCTTCTACGTGACAATCAGTATGAATATGTGATATCTTTGATTTCTAATGGTGATATTCAGACGGGACGCGGTTTGAATCAAGAATGTACTATTAAACGACCAGGAGATACACGTTGGGGTTCACACATAGGGACAATTCATAGTGTCATAAACTTATTTTCTTCTGTTGTTGGTGTGCTCAGAGTGATTGAGATTGAAGGAGATGATTGGCAAAACAAAAGTCAAGCAAGGAGTTTATTACGAATCATGGAGAATTTTGAATTCGTCTTTTTGTTATTCTTGATGAAGAAAGTATTGGGAATCACATATGAACTGTCATAAGCATTACAAAGAAAAGATCAAGATCTCCTTAATGCCATGCAGTTTGTACAAATTTCGAAGCGTCGGTTGCATAAATTGAGAAATGAAGACACTTGCTTCGACATATTGTTAAAAGAAGCTTATGATCTATGTAAAGATAATGACATACCAATCCCGGAGAACATGGAAGATAATTTTGGGAGGACAAAACGAGGGATTGCACCAATTGCGAATAAACATCATTTTAAGGTGGAATTGATGTACACAGTTTTAGATAACATTCAAGAAGAACTCAACAATCGTTTTGATGAAGTAAACATGGGGTTGCTTCAGTGTATGGCATCTCTTGATCCAAGTAACTCTTTTGCTGCATTTAAAAAAGACAGATTACTAAAGTTTGCAAAGTTCTATCCTATCGATTTTCCTCAACACGATATTTGGTTGCTCGATAATCAACTTGAAAATTATTATGTGGATGTTAGCACCAATGCCAATTTCACTCATGTTGATGGGATTGCCGATCTAGCAAAAAAAATGGTTGAGTTTAAGAAGGATGTTGCTTATGACAAAGTTTTCTTGCTTATTAAATTAGCACTGGTTTTGCCTATGGCTACTGCAACAGTTGAAAGGGTGTTCTCTGCAATGAATCTTGTTAAGAATACTTTGTGTAATCGAATGGGAGACGAATGGATGAACAATTGCTTAGTAGTTTACATTGAAAAGGAAGTTTTTGCTACAATTCAAAATGAAGATATCATTGAACATTTTCAGAACATAATGAAGCGAAAAATCATGTTAAATTGAAGATCTTCAGGTATACTATTCTAACTTGCTTTCATCTTTAAATAATAAATATTCATATTATTTAGATCTTTAGGTATACCATTCTAACTTGATTTTTGGGTCAATATGCAGAGGATGTGTGAATCTTTAATATAGACGGTTGAGTTAGAATGTTAACATCTAGATCTGGATTTAGAGTGATTGTAATCCATCTCTTTGTAAACCTTTGTGTATCTTACTTTTGTTAGAGTTGTAATTGAGCTTTAAATTTGTGTAGAATATTTTTGGTTGATTTGTAGTTATTGTAAACTCTTTTGCTTATATTGGATTTAAGTGGGTCGTTAGATTCCTGTGGTTTTTTATCTCTTCATATTGAAAAGGTTTTTCCACGTAAAAATTTTCTTGTGTTTCCCTGTAAATTATTTTCTTATGTTTTCACTACTTGATTGGCAAATAGTGGCGGAGTGACAGGGCCCCCCCGGGCAAAAATCCTAGGTCCGCCACTGGATGGAGGTGACTAGGGGGTTCGACGTCATCGAAAACAGCCCAGATCGGGCTGTTTCCGACGAGGGTGTATAGTGACCGAGGGTGTTTTTGATATAATTTGAAAATAAAATGGTAAGTTTTGTAATTCTACTAATTTAGGGGTTAAAACATAATTTATTAATTTAGGGTTAAGGGCATTATAGTAATTGCACCCTCTAAACCCTAAAAATTCATAACACTATTACTTTAAAGGTGGGAATTTAGAATAAATGGAACTAATGGTACTAACTTGGGATTTTGTCAAACCTTGGGTGGGAATATGTCGTTTACTCTAAATAAAATTGCAGTTTGATGCATTTCCTAAATCATTTCTCACACTCAGCAATATTCTAGATATATTAAATATATATTACTCTAGTTTGGTGCTAGTGGTTGGGCCACAAATTAAAAGCTACCAGTGGAGGGTGGGTTGCATTGTTGGGCCAATTACTCCTCTTCCCAATTCTTTCCTAGTAGTGTCTTCTTCCCAATTCTTACAGCATCAGTGTCTTCTATATCAAATAAGGCATTACACAGTCACGACACAGAAAAAGAAAATCATGGCTCTCAATTCTGTTTCCAATAAATGAATGAACCTTTCTTAAAGTAATAAGTAAACATTCATATTTCTACGGTTTAAAAACTAAAAAAAAATTGTCAATGATGGATTTACTTGATATAAAATTGTTTTTTAATACAGCAGACTATAACAGACTACAACCAGAGAACACATAATACCAGTCAAATTTATTTCCGAATTGCTTGTGTTTGCTGACGAAGCCAATGGTGAGATTGCATAGGATGCCCTCAAATTCAAATATCTAAGAAGAGAAAAGGGGGATCCTCATTCATTTTCGAAGAACACACAACTGTAAAAAATTTAATGAAAAAGGGTCTTCATTCATTTTTGAAGAAAACTAATGTACAGATTTTGCATGGATGTGGCTAAACTGTATTTCAGCAACGCTTTTTTGAGATTGGAAGATGAAAAATTAGAACGGAAAGTTTTTTGAGAACGGTGCCAAACTGACCTTTGTTCATTTTGATTTATAATTATACTTCATGCATGGGCTCCTTTTCACTCCTTTTTCTCTCCTACTGCAAAAGTAACGCCTATCAACGGCTGTCTGCCCGTCTCTAAACATTTCCCACAAATTACTTTTAAACCTCTAACATTTTACTCTAAATCCATCAACTTCCATTGCTTTCAGATTTATCAACCCAATCCTAAATTTTTATTTCCAATATTTTAGTGAATATTGTAGCTGAACGTACTTATTACACATAAAATATACAGAAAAACAAACAAATAAAACTACTGAGAAGAAAGAGGAGAGAATTGCCAACTTTACGAAGTTCAGCAATAATCTCGACAATGATCATCTAATTACGAGAAACGTCATTGTAGATTAATGCTGAAATTTTTGCCCTCTTTATAGCTACACAAAACTGCGTCTGTTTAGATGTTTTAGTGTTTGTTGCGACTTGGGTACTACATTGTTGTAGACTAAGTAAGATTTAAATCATCTAGTTAAGCGGGATGGCGTCAATGTATTGTTCTCGTTGTTGGGCAAGTAACACTTAAAACGTATTGGTACGTAGACAATGCTTTAATGTATGTTGATGTGAAAATCTGCGCCGGCCAGAATATTGTCCAAAACGTACTGGATGGCGATGTCCGGACTGGGATTCCCCGGCTTCTATTAGGCTCGAGGTGGGCGTTTATTCCTGCACAACAATGTACATTAATACAAACTGTTGTGACTCGGACATTGCATCGGTGTAGGTGATAAACAAAAGTTTCCATCCAAGATATGATAAAAACATGCATCGAGCGTTAACTCAAGTTCATAGAGTATAGCGATACTGCTATTTGCATCCTTATAACTTTGTTTATCAACACTGGCAACGTCGAAACATTGGTTTAGTCTTGTGAGATCCTCTTACATATTAAAAGAAATTATGCTGTTGGAATTATCAACTAAAATTATGTCAACAAGCATAAAATCACGTACTTTTACCAAATGATCGTTTGTCTTGGCAGAGATTGCTAAAGTCAAGGGTGTTGTTGATAGTTTTTAAACCTTTTGGGTATTGATGTCACTAGCATCAATACCAAATTACATGGGTGTCCAGTAATTAAACCCGCAAAATGATGGTAAATAACCTGTCACAGCTTGAACTTGTCTAGAGTTCAACTTTTGCATACTACAGAAAACAGAAAGAGAAAGGTAGCAATGGAGGGAATGAAGCACTTTGTTTTCGTTGATGCAGCTTGCTTTGGAGAATGGCCTTGGTTCAAGGTCAGGATACCTCTCCAAGCAGCTGGTCACCTAATCACTACTATAGACATGGGTACTACGGCGCTCAACGCCAAGAGTTTCGATGAGATTTATCCTCTTTCAGATTTTATGGAGCCACTGTTAAAGTTCCTGGCCTCTCTAAAGGCTGATGATAAAGTTATTCTTGTTGGCCATAGCTATGGGGGGATTAGCATTGCTCTTGCCATGGAAAAATTTCCACAAAAAGTTTCGGTTGGAGTTTTTGTGTCCGCTTTTATGCCTACCTATAAATCTTCCCCGGGAGCCCTTATAGAAGAAGTAAAGACTAATTTCTTCACTATATAAGAAAAAATGTATTTGAGAAAGCTAATTTTTTTAACCCTCTTCCGTTTTTTTTTTGTTTGTTCCCTAGTATTTGAACAGGACCCCGTTAGAATCCTTGATGGATTGCCTGTTAAAATTCGACCATGGAGTGGATACAATTCAATCATCTATTTGCTTTGGTCGAGAATACATGAAGGCCAAGGTGTTTAAGAACTGCACGGAATCGGTAAGTCTACAAGTATCCTAATTCAATTTATGGACGGCTAGCAATAGCATGCAACACATTATATTTCCTCTAATTTAGAGCATTTCCGCATGCAGATTGTGGAGATTGCAAATCAAAAGGTTAGAACAACCAAGTTTTGCAAAGAAGATATATCTAAAGATTCCCTCTTAACCAAAGAGAGGTACGGATCCATTGATCGAATTTATGTGATGTGCGGAGACGATGAAGTGATAGAGCCAGAGTTTCAACGAGAGATGATCGAGAATGACCCTCCGAAAGAAGTGTTTACAATTAGTGGTGCTGACCACATGCCTATGCTCTCTAAGGTTGAAGAGTTGAGCAAAATCTTGGAAGATATTGCTTACAAATATTAATAATATGTTTATCCCAAGACTCTGTTTCTTAGATCGATATCTTTAATGTTCAAGCTGTCTTTCTTGTTTTAGAACTTCTGTAAATTTCATGAATCTTCTGCGATTATTTGTTTGAATATTTGAGTTTCTGATTTATTTTCTTGATTATTTAGAAGTAATATTAGTTTACAGTACACTTGGCCTAAATTGATCGTCACTCCAATTTCAGCGCTCTTAAGTTATCAATGAACAAAATTTTTCTTCTTCTTTTTATTCGGTAACATGTTATTTATGCTTTCAGGAATTTAGATTCCTTATAATACCTGAATTTCAATTTACACAAAATATAAGAAATAATTTATTTGCGTATAATTGGCTTCTTAGTAATAGATATTAATTAAGAAGTCATGAGACATAGTTGATTGGTCGTTATATAATCAAGAAACGATAGTTTCCATCTCTGTTCTAAAACCCATGCAGCCCGCCCCCACTGGTTTAGCTGGTCTAACCGGGACCCAAGGCCGAGCCACCAATTTCAATTGTTCTTTACTTGAATAAGCAAACCCTAGAGAGGAGGGCGGCAATTGGTGAGCAGACAATGACAGGGCTATTAGGGGTTTTGGAGAGGAAGTGTTGATGAGTTGAAAGGTGGCGATTGATATGATTTCCGGTGAGTGAAACGACTGAAAGAGGCAAAAGTCATTATGGCCACAATAGTAAGATGTTGTTGGCGATTAGCAAGGCGAATAGGGAGGTGAGATGGGTTTTGGTTAGGAGGCTTAGGGGAGTGTTTTCGTGGTGATAGGAAGTGTTGTCGATGTTGGAAATAAGCTCTATTTAGCCTAGGTTGTCGACGCCCATGATGGTGTTTTTTGCCACAAAATGGTTTGATTTCAACCAGATCTTGGGCAGATTTGTTGGGAATGACTCAAAGGATGAGTGGGATTTGCATTTGGTGTGTTGCCGCCACGAACCAGTCGACCGCCGATTTGTATTTGGGGTGTGTTTGCTAGATTGCAAACCTGTAGGGATTGATACGTTTTTTTTAGGAGTGTGTTTGTTGGATTTTAAACCTTTAGACATACTGACGTTATTAGTTTGACTAGCGAGTCAAACTGGTTCAACCGATCAACCTGGGACTTGGCCACTTTATCGAGATTTATCCCGAGTCGATTATTAAACCACTAGTTTCTATCCTCAAATCAAACCCATCAACCTCATTTTTTTTTTAATTTTTTTTTTTTAAGGTTATCATAATTTTAAATGACCCAATAAATCCAACTCATAGTCTATTAAATCAGTTTCTTTTTATAAGTTAAATGAAAGCATAACCCATTTAGGCCGGTTAATTAATTATGATAAAGTGTCTTCTATTCATCCTAAATTTTTAGGGAAGTGATATTTAGCCGCATTTAATTCATCTTTACCTCATGCCTAAATACACGTCTTCTATAATTAAAAAAGTCTCTTTAAATCTCATTTAATTCCGCCGGGTTAGGCTGCGGGTGGGGTGGGTTAACCCNGATAGTTTCCATCTCTGTTCTAAAACCCATGCAGCCCGCCCCAACCAGTTTAGCTGGTCTAACCGGGACCCAAAGGCGAGTCACCAATTTCAATTATTCTTAACTTGAATAAGCAAACCCTAGAGAGGAGGGCGGCAATTGACGAGCAGACAGTGATAGGGCTATTGGGGGTTTTGGAGAGGAAGTGTTGATGAGTTGAAAGGTGGCGATTGAGGTGATTTCCGGTGAGTGAAATGATTGGAAAAGGCAAAAGTCATTGCAACCACAATAGTAGGATGTTGTTGGCGATTGGCAAGGCGAATAGGGGGGTGAGATGGGTTTTGGTTAGGAGGCTGAGGGGAGTATTCTCGTGGTGATAGGAAGTGTTGTCGACGTTGGAAACAAGCTTTATTTAGCTTGGGTTGTTGGTGGTGTTTTTTGCCACAAAATGGTTTGATTTCGACTAGATCTTGGGCAGATTTGTGGGAATGACTCAAAGGATGAGTGGGATTTGTATTTGGTATGTTGTCACTGCCAATTAGTCAACCGCCGATTTGCATTTAGGGTGTGTTTGCTAGATTGCAAACCTATGGGGATTGATAGAATTTTTTAGGAGTGTGTTTGTTGGATTTCAAACCTTTGGACATGCTGACATTATTAGTTTGACTGGCGGGTCAAATTGGTTCAATCGGTCAGTCGGGGTCTTGGCCACTTTGTCGAGATTTATCCCGAGTCGGTTATTAAACCACTAGTTTCTATCCTCAAATCAAACCCATCATCTCATTTTTTTTTTTTTTTTTTTTTTTAAGGTGATCATAATTTTAAATGACCCAATAAATCCAACTCATAGTCTATTAAATCAGTTTCTTTTTATAAGTTAAATGAAAGCATAACTCATTTAGGCCGGTTAATTAATTATGATAAATTGTCTTTTCTATTCATCCTAAATTTTTAGGGAAGTGATATTTAGCCGTATTTAATTCATCTTTACCTCATGCCTAAATACACGTCTTCTATAATTAAAAAAGTCTCTTTAAATCTCATTTAATTCCGAAACATCCCTCTAAGCTTAATTAGGTTTACTTTTTCCAATTTCAAATTTAATTATGTTTTTTTTGTTTTACATCCTTTTTCCCAAATCAAACTTAACTCGGTTTTTTCTTTACACCTTTTTTTTCTTTCCCAAATTCCTAATTTCCACTTATTTTTTCTTCTTCATAATCATATTTATTTTGTTGTGTAATTACTTTTTTCATAGTTTTAGTATTATATTTTCATCAAATAAACAAATATTTAAAACAGAAGGGTTCAATGATTATGATACTTTAATATTAGGTTATGAAAATTTAGGATTAGGGTTTATGTAAAATTAAATATTAAAAATTAAAAAAAAGTATAAAAGAGAGTATGATTATATTTAGAAATTATAATATTATTTCTAGTAATTTAAATTACGGTTAAATTTGTCAAAACAAAAACATACATTTAAAAGTGAGGGGGTGAAGACCAATTAGGTGGGGGCTAAAGATTACTTCCCAATTTTTTATTCTCGGTTCAGAACCAACCCTAAACCCTAGACCTCTATGATTTAGAACAGTTTCGGGCTTAACAGAGCTTCTGGGTCGATGGTTCAGAATATGGGCCTGATATCCCAGCCCAAACAAATAATAGATGTATCGCTTCTTCGTCTTGTACCTTAAACCCTAGACCTTAAAGTTTTAGAAGAGCAAGAGATTGAGAATGTCGAAGAGAGAAGATTATGATTCGGACGCTCCCGAGGAATTCACAGCCGAGCAGGTGCCCCTTTTATCTACTTTTTGGATATAACTTAAACGAAAACATGCAAAATTGTTTTACGAATTATCTATCTATTTTCTTTTTCAGGGAATACAGCAAGATGAAGAGATACGAAGAGTCCAGAAAGAAAATAAGGCCAGGTCTACTCTCAAATTTTCTGATTAACAATATTGTAAAGTAATATTTACAGTAAATAAATCAAAATAATTTCTTTCGAGAATTTGCAAAGCTATGTGCATAAAGTTTGTAAGAACTGATGTGGGAAGATTGTTATTGATAGAATATCTTTAATTTGAGTAAGGAGTGTCGATGAGTTGTTTCGTAATAGAATTCTAATTGTTATGTGAAGGGGTTCATAAGAACGTGAGCTTGGAAAAGTGTTGGAACTTAGGATGTTTAAAGGGTGTAGAGTGCTTGGGCATCCAAATTATGTTAGGTTGGTAGCTCAACTATGGTTCTTTGAACATTTACTATGATGAATAAGCTGGAGTGCATATGGACGAGGAGATGTTAACATGTAACTGGGATTTTTATTTTTTCCTCCTTTTATTTTTTATTTATTTATTTTATTTTTTTTTGCAGTGGTTCTGGGTATAGCTGGAGTTAGATGTAGGAAGTATCTATGTTAATTCCAGAGGATCAATTTCTTATATTATTTGTTTACTTAATTTTTAGGGGTGGCATAGCATGTAAGATAGTTTCATCTTTAATGGTACTAATTGTTTTCTCAAAATCTAGTTATTTTACCATGAACTTTGCAAACCTGCTGCTGTCCGGTCTGCAATTAGCTCAACTTTCTTATGGTGGTGTTTAAAACTGTTTTATGTTGAAAGATAACTGGTAAATGTACATTCTGAACTTTATATTAATTCCTCCACATAGGGTTGTTCGTGAGGGAAAAGAACGTCGCAGACTATGGGCTAAAAGAAAAACTCCACGAACTTCTAAAGGAGGTGAAGCTATCTTAGATGTCGCAGAATCTGAGCCAGGAAAGACGCACAAAGAGGCTTTGGATGGTTCAGGGATGCTTCCAAATGACATTGTTGAAATGCTTGCAGCTCGTGAGAAGTATGTTGTATTTATGTGTATATTAGTGGTTTGCACATGTACATGCATGTTAATGATTTTGAACTTTTAGCTTTAAGTCTGTAACATTATGACCAAAGTTCATCTTCTGTCTACAGACAAGTTTTCCTATCAGACTCGGAAGATGACAAGGCTGAGGTGAAACCCACTTCTAATAAGAAAAAGAAGAAAAGCTCAGGGTAAGACATCTTTTCTTTATGGCATTATGGAAAATCTTATTAGCTTCACGACATTTGAGATTGGATCCTTTTTTCAGGTTAGAGGCTGTTATTTTGAAGGACATGCCTCCTCCTGAATGCTTGAAGAATTCCTTGGAGTTCTTGAAGAAAAGGAAAATGCAGATTTCAAGGTCATCTGCGGTTCTGAACAACTCAAACCAAGCACTTCGCCTCCTTACTACTTCTGGCTTGTTAAAGTGACGAACTTGGATCTCAATTTTTTCATTGTTAATTAGATTCATGCTGAAGCTATTCTTGAATAGTCCGTAGCTCCAACAGGAGTACAATGTTGTTACTGATGAAGAAATGAGTTAAAAGTTTTGTCTGTTGTGAATTTGCGGTCAGTGACAGTAATTGTATTCCTCTACTTCTCATGTGTGTTTAGAATTGAGTTCTACCCAGTGAGCAAAACATACAACTCACTTGTGACAGTATCTTATAAGAGATTCACCATTTACCATACTCTGTGCCTACTGCCTAGATCACTTATTTGACTGTTTTGGTCCTAATTAGAATGCGCCGTGGGTTGAATTGGATTAGGATAGTATAAAAAGGTGTGAAATTGGAATTTTCGGTTTGGGATGGACAATCTCAGGACGGTGAATTGGTGATGGGATTTGTGATCCCGTGTACTTTGTAATATTTATGAATCCCAGTAAATTTATTATTCCACCATTATGCAAAGATACATGATTATAGTTATACTTGGAAATTGAACAAAGTCGTGAGATTATACTAAATATCCTATGGACACGTATAGAGCTCCCCAGAGACTACCAGGGGCCTTAATCAGCAAGGACATTCTATTGCATTCAATACGTTAAATTAGTGGTTTTTGAAACATCAAGGATTGTTGGATTTTCTCTCTAAGGAGTTTCATTTGCTTACAATCAGAAATTTGATTCCCGTTTCAGTTTTATTTCTTTTATTATTATTCATGTCCATTTTATGCATTTCTGCCCAGTGTTATGATCGGATAAGTTGGCTAGGGATAGTTTCTTCATATCCGACTGTTGCAGGACTTCATTGGCAATTTGTAAGTGTGAGTTGATGCACAAACTTCCAGCGTAAAGAAACTAAATGATTTGGGATCTTAGGACTCCCCTTTGGTGGGGTTTTGACTCATCTCCTCATGCTGATTCGTGATAACAATGATTTTAAGTTAGATTATTGCGGAATATCGTTTTGGTATTAGTAGTGTCTTTTGTTGGAGTTTGATGGATTATGAACTTATCGACTCTGCTTTACTCCATTATTTTGATAATTATGCCACTTTGATAATCATTGGGGGTGGTTTTATGACTTTTATCTGTTTTGATCAAAGCACAAAACTAATGGCTTGTATCTTTCTGAGACTTAAATCTTAGAGAAACATGGCATGTCTTTGTTCAGCGCACTGCATAATTTGTGTTGTCAAGTCGGCCCAATAGTCGAGATTAAACATTTAAACTAATTAATTGAAGCCCCCTTTCTAGTTTTTGCAGTTTCGTATTATCACTTTATCAGATTAAGATACCACCAATCCATAACTCGGATGGATTTAAAGTTCCTATCCTGGAGCTACTGCTAATTTTGTTGAATGTTTAACTTGAAGAAATAACTGGTGCCCAGAGAAGATAAGAGGCTATGAAAATGATTCAAAAGAAGCCTATCATTCCTTACCAGGGAAGTAACATTAAGTAGAAACTCTCTATTAAACCAATCACTACAGTGAGTGAATTAATAATACATCACATACATTTGATGGAACCGTCCCTTCAAACTGGTTACAAAATCAATCTTCAGAAAGTAGAACCTTTGCTACCCTGCTGCTTAAATTATAGAATCGTTGTACTGCTACTCTATTATTCCCAGCAAAGAACTCTATCACACCGCCACATGATTAAGTTCACAAGCCCTACCAGGACATATCATCTGTGGGTGTGTTAGCATGACTTGAAACGTTGAATTTGGATTTAGTACCTCTAAGAAAATAAAATATACAACAGAAGAACAAACTAAAATAATTCTGCTCGTGGACTAAGACCATATTCTAATAAACAATATTGATCGTGAAGGATTGTTTCATGGGGAGGAAAAAACATCATCGTGATCCAGCCACTTCTGCTGATGGACAGAGACGGTGTTGGCTTGTTCTGAACCGTTGCTCACCAGAGCTTGGACAGCGCTTCTGACCTTGCTTAAACACTTATGGTGACGAATACGTTTGAGGACTAGTTGTTTGTCCAAGGCTTCAGAGGAGTCGTGTTTTGTTGGTGATGATTTTAAACAAAGTTGCCTTGTAATGTGATCTTGCTCTTCCGAGTGTTTCAAATTCGTTTTCCCAGAGTCGTCTGAGAAAGAGGTTTCAGCTTTTGAAGCCATGAAAACCATTTCTTCTTCAAAGAAATTTAGTATATAGAAAGAATGGAGAAAGAGAAGAGTGGGGTAATTGGCATATAGATTAATCCTATATAATATAAAGTGGGAAGCTCATGGTTTTGTAATTTAATAATTTCGTCTTGGTTTTGTCTTGGTTCTTGCTTGTTGGTCACTTAAAACGGTGGGTTTTTAAATTGTGGGTTTTAGCATATTACGATAGAATTTGAGGTGAGTTTGACTCTTCACCTAATAAGGTCTCATTGAATGGAAGAATTATCCTCTCTTATAAACCAGTAGGCTTGAATATGCCTAGTCGGTATGAGACTCCAACACTCTCCCTCACGGTCAAACTCATATGTTAGGTTATGCTTATTGATGAAGGTAGTTGTTGGCTATAACTCCTCACCCGTTAGTCAAGCACTCAGCTTAACTGAATTTGGGCTCTGATACCATGATAGAATTTGAGGTGGGCTTGACTTCTCACCCAATAAGACCTTGTTGAATGGGACAATTACATCCTCTTATAAACGAGTAGACTTGAGCATGTCTAGTCGATGTAGAACTTCAACAGATTGCATTGCATGAGCGAATATGTATACATATAAACTAATTAAAAAAATCCTACTAGAAGCTTAAGGTGATGTGAGCAATGAGCATGAGAAAATGAATTTGGACAGGCATGGAGTAATATAATATTGAATTCTAAGTGTAATAATCCAATTGTAGAAAGAGCAATTGAGAATCTAATATAATTTTTTAAGTTTGAGTCTTTACAGCTCTTAATAAGGATGATTACTGATATTCTTATTCGGTTGATAATTTCAGGATTCTCGGATAATTAAATAAATAAGATGTGTACAAATTGACTGCAGTACCCCCATCTTAAAAACAAAAATTTGTTGGAATGAAATTTGACAGCCTGAATATGTATTAAATGACGAAATTGGGGTTGGCTTTCCCATTAATTTTGTTCTTGATGAGCAATGCTTGCTGGATTTCCCGTACTGTACGTGAAAATTAATTTCCACTTCTGTCTCTCATTCACACACACAGATAACAAGGGAAGTACCGAAGTAGAGTGATTGAAAGTTGGAACTATCAAGTATCAAATATGCATATTTGGTTCTGATGCAAACAAATAGGTATGGCCATATGTGTTGAACTATATTGATTTTCATCTCACCAAAATTTACTTCCGCATGGTTTTTTTTTTTTTAATTTTTTTCCTTGATACCGGAAATACTTTGGGAAAAAGGATTTAATGGATATATTTAAGTTTACATATAAAAAAGTATATGATAGGGTAAATCATCAAATATCCAAAAATGCTTAAACAGTAAAATGTTGGGTTAAAAAGTTAAAGAAAGAAAGTATAGAATTTAATGAAAGGTGGAAGAAGAAGGGAGCAGAGGCAGAGCAGGTGCAGTTGGTTTGAAAATGAGATGGTAGCGAGTTCCCAAGTGACAGAGAAACCATGGGCTGTTTTTCCGTTTTCTAGGTTGTAAACTGGGGGCGTCTTAAATGATGAATCTTGATAAGGTTCTCTTTCCTTCAGTCTCAATCCACCTATCAAACTCATTGTTTCTACACATAAGATATGCACGCATTGTTAGATCATTTGATTTGATTTCATGTAGGTCACTGCCTGTGAGGGCATCTTCATTTGTAACATTGTAAAATGTAAGAGCATCACGTCAATAATACCATAAAATGTTAGGTGAAACTTTCTGACGATACTTAACTAATACAAAAATTTAGGTGTGTTGTCTGAGCTTACGAAAATAGCATTTAAAATTTAAAGCAATTACGTATTTGGTTAAAATACTTATAAATGACTGATAAGTAGTTGACGTATTTGGTAAAATGTGGCTTATAAATACATTTTATTACAAAATAACAAAAAATGGTACTATATTAAACAAGGATATACTATGAAATTTTAAAATTAAATAAGGATAATGTGATAATATACTTGGTCAAACTCTCTACTTATAGGCGAAAAAAAAAAAATTGTACCTCCCTCCCACCCTTTTTTTTTTTTTTTTTCTTATAAACTCAAAAAAGTTATAAACAAACATGTCAGCTTAATTTTAGAACTTATAAGCTAGTTTGATCAGCTTATAAGCTTAGCAAACACCCCCTAAATGACTGTTTTCCAGCCAAATAATAGCTTAATGACACTTTCCATCCATAGATTTTTAAAATACCATTTTACTACCTAAATTGATATTCTGTTTCTGATTACGGCATCGTTACGACCCCACATCACTACCATTCTCTTTCCCAATCATCACTCACCAAAACCCCTCAAACCCTACTCTTGTAGACCTCACCAATAGCCGGCAATTGAGTAATTAGGATTTATACAACCGCCCCTTTCAAATCAAATTCCAATAAATCCTAACCACCAAAATTCAACCTCCTATTATCAAAAGACTCATTTGCCTTTCCTCTTCAAAAGTCTTAACAACTTGGACCGAGTTTACTGTTTATTCACTATCGAAATATAAATTTGAATAGTAAAATAATATTTAAAAGTCTGTGAGTGAAAATTTGTCGTTAAACCATTATTTGGATAGGAAAAAGTCATTAACTTTTAATACAATATAATAGCATACCTCTGTTTTAAAAACTGGACCGGACCGGTCAGTCAAACCGGTTAGACCGGGACTTGGCAGCTTCTCCGATCTGGTTCAGGTCTTAGGGGGTTTTTGTAATATTTTAAAATTATAAGGGTTAATTGTAATTTTGTAGGAGTGTTTGAGAGATATGTCAAAAGTTTAAGGATTAATTGGTACTTTTTTGGGGCATTTGTGAAATAAATACAAATTTTAGGGACTAATTTGAACTTTTTTAGGAGAATTTTTGTTACATATTAAAAGTTAAGTGATAATATGTAATTTTTTAAAAATAAAATTGTCGCTGACATCATCGGTCCAACCGGTTGGACCAGTTGACCCGTGACCCAGACAGCAAAACGGGTTACCCTCAGGTTCGGGTTTTAAAATAATGTAGCATACCAAATGGTCTTCAACTCTTCATCATTGTTTTAAAACCCAGATCGGAGGGCAAACCGTTTTGTTGTCCGGGTCACGGTTCAATCGGTCTAACCGGTTGGACCGGTCGGTTGGACTGATGACATCAGCAATATTTTATTTTTAAAAAATTACATATTAACCCCTTAAATCTTAATATATTACAAAAATTCCCCTAAAAAAGTTCAAATTGATCCCTAAAATTTTTATTTATTCCAAAAATACCCCAATAAAATTACTAATTAATCCCTAAACTTTTGATATATCTTCAAAATACCCCTATAAAATTACAAAGTAACCCTCATAATTTTAAA